AATGCGCACTCACGCACACACACGCAGACAAAGATCACCCGTATAACCTTTAACAGACTGATGGGGCAAGTGCTGTTAGCGAGGAGCGACCACATGGGGGGATGGGTGGGTGGCCGGAACCACGCCCAGCCGCCTTCGTCTCCCCAGTGGCGATGTTTACATCCCCGCACAGGGTACTCATTTGAGGCTGAGTCGACCTCGGGGAAGGTCCAGGATCGGTTCAGATGATCATCGTTACGTGTTGGTCGTGAGCGGCAATCGAACGCTTACACACACACCTCATTCATACACACACACGCATACGAACATACAGAGACACACATTCACTGCCATTTACATGCCATAATTGCACGCTTTTGGTTTAAGAAAACGTACTCTTAGGTTTTTTCCGGTAAAGTCACGTAGGTAAAAATAAAATTAAAAGTTAATAAAAGTAATAATGGAAATAAAATATAATAATAATGGAAAGAAAATAAAATTATTATTTTAGTTTATTTCCATTATTACTTTTATTAACTTTTAATTTATTTTTTTACCTACGTAACTTTACCGAAAAAACATAAGAGTATGAATCCTTGCAGTCACGAAAGCTTCAAATCTAGAATTTAGAAAAGCTCCTCGAACGAGATAGCGCATTGATTGATTGGTTCACACGCGCACGCACACGCACATTGCACTCGGACGCATTCACTTTTACACTCTGAGCTGCGGCAGCTTTGATTGTGATGTTTGTTGCTGGCCGCTTGGCGGGTTTTTGGGGTCTGAGCTCAGGAACATACAGGCAATGCATGGGGTACGTTCACTCACACTTACACACGTAATGCATAGGTACATTCACTTACACTTAAGTACATACATGCGCACAGTGCATACACATAAAAGGCGCGTGTACATCCACACAGCCTTTCACTGCGCACTCCACTCACAAACATCGCCTCCATAGCGTGAACAGACTGAGGGCGAGGGCTGTTAGCAAGTCACACGAGGGGGTGGGTGGCCAACACCACGCACGGCCGCCTTTGTCTCCCCAGTGGCGATGTTTACACACCGAACCCGGTGCTCGTTTGAGGCTGAGTCGATCTAGGAGAGGCTCAGAACCGGTTTAGATATCGAACCCGGGTCGCACACTCTGCAAAGCAAGGGGAGAGAACACACACACCAGCAACAACCGCGTTCGCCACGAAGTGGCGGTGACGTCACCACGGCGCTTGTGCCAGGCTAGGTGCACCACACAAACGCCCAAAAAGACAAAGATCCCCCGTATAGCCTTAACAGAACGTTGGGGCAAGTGCTATTAGCGAGCACCTACGGAAACTCCACACACTCGCCCAAACTCTGCAGCAGAACGTATCTGGGAACATGTCCCTGTGGCGATATTGACGCACCGCACCGGGTACTCAGACCGGCACACGCACGAACAGCGAAAACAATCACACGGACTTGATTCGCGTGGTGTGATGCGAATCGTCGAATCTGATTCACGACCCGGGATTTTGATTTTATTTTTCGCTCATGGCCGTTGATTCAGCCTAGAAAGTTCTAAATTTCTCGAGAGTAAAAATGAGCCCCGCACGTTCACGCATCATCACACAGGTTCGCCATCCGC